TCTCACACACACACACACACACACACACACACACACATTCTCTTGTTGTCAGGTTGCTTCCATTTTATCTCTTACTTGAATGAACAACTCGTTTACTAACATAGACACACACACATGCACAAACACACATATACCCACATAATATACACCTACACCTACCAACATCCCACACACACCTATACACACACACACACACACGCACGCACGCACACACACACACACACACACACACACACACACACACACACACACACACACACACACTTGCATACATACTCACAAATACATACCAACGCACATACGAGGGGGGTTCAATAAGTCTTTGGTTTGGGTATGAAAAAATCATGGTAGAGTAATGAAATTTCGCCAGCCTTTAGACATATTCTTTGGAACACACCATGCAGATTTCCGTGAAAATCCAACTATAATAAGGCACTAGTCAGAGTATTCAATGAAACAATGCACAAAACCGTTTGTTTTTATTTGCTGAAGCTGTGCCATGGAGCCTGATAAAAAAAGCTTAGTTATCAAGTGTGATGCAACGTTGTGGAATCAGGCTCTCGTCATTTTTGGGGCATGTAGAGTTATTGTTATCATCTTAAAGCCCATTCACTTGTCTTTATTTGGATGAAAAAATATACATTTATCTTGTATACAAGTCAATTTATTTGCGAAAGAAGGAGGTGGGGGTCACCTGTTTTCAGAGGTAAAACTAGTGAGAAAATGGACGCAAAAGATACGTTATTTCCTTAGCTTAAGAGTCCGTGGTGACTGAAAATTTACATTTTTGGGCCTTTCATCAACGCTTTTCAGAAAAATCCACACAGAAATGAGTTCTCAAATGGGCATGAAAGGTGTTGAGCCAAAAAACAAAAACTTGATAAAAATTCACAAACCTGCGGAAAAATGCAGGTTTCTTCATTTTGATTATTTTGACATGAGCCTGATTCCACCACGCTTCCTCACAAGTTTTAGCACTTGCAAGCAAAATCCCCTTCCGATATTTTTCAGGAAATGGTCCAAGTTTATGGTGACAATAAATGTCCTCGTTACAATACTGTGACATACTGGGTATGAAAATTCAAATCTGGCTTCATGTCGGTGACGGATGAAGATAGTGAAAGACACCCAGCTTATTCACCAGACCTAGCCCCCTCAGCCTTTATTCTGTTTCCTAATCAGAAAAAAAATCACCCACAGGGTGTCGTTTCCACGACAAGGAGGGCGCCATTGAAGATGTTGAAGACTGGTTAGAGGCCCATTGTGGGTAATTTTTCTCTCAAGGACTTTTGCAGGTCGAAAAGAAGTGGCAGAAACGTGTTACTCTGCGTGGTGACTAATATAGAGAAATAAAGTACGTGTAAAAAGTTACAAAGCTCTATCTTTATTCCTTTACAGATAGACTAAAGACTTCTTGAACCCATCTCGTACACACAAACACACATAGACATAGGCAAACAAAACATTCCTTATCCCCATAACATTCCCGCCTTCTCTCCTCTCCTCTACCACACTTCGAAACTTTTATAGATCTCTAAATCTCAAGCCCCCGATTTAACTAAACACTTTTGCAAGTTAAATGTGGCTACTGTTTCCATTCCCCGCGTCCTTGTACCGTTAAACGACTCTAATGTTTCAGACGTCCTTGACCTGTTAGGTTTGTATTGTTTTCCTTTGTTCTGTTTGTTTTTTAAACCTCATTTGCATTCTCATTACCTCGGAGGGAACTGGTTTATTTGCATTCGTAACGAGAGAGCGAACGCTTCAAGGACCGTAAAACAATTAATTATTATGGAAATGTATCTCGTGTCTAAACCCATTAATGAATTTAGGCACATGTTTTGTTTTCACAATCAATAATAACAAAATACACACTTCCAAATTAGAAAAACAAAATATAAAAACTGTAACAATGGGAGCGTGTGTAATCGCTGGGAATAGTGGACACTTGACTTTTTCAGTGCTGGGGCAAACAAGATAAAATATTCGCGGTTTTTCAAGAGAGATTTCAATAATAAATCGGAAATATCTTTTACCCCAGTAAATATGTGCAAATGCAGAAGCTGCAGTTACAACTTCTGAAATGCTGTCAATACAATAGTAGACAAAAAAAGCAGTGAAGCAGTTTGGGGGAAGACAGACTACGTTTATACTGCAGTGAACAGATTAAACAACTGAAGGGCCAGATGGAAAAGCAAACAAGGGATACCACCTTTTCTTTTTTTTTTGCATTTCGAGGAAAATACACATTCAAGGAATGCTTGACAGCCCCCGTGTTTTTCCAATTGTATATGGGATTTTTTTAATGCGGTGTCTCCGCTAAACCATCAACGTCACAAGAAGAAACCGCATAAGAAACAAAACCATACGTCTAAGTGGAATACCACCAGTAGTAAAATTTATAGGGCGTCAAAGAGTTAAACTAGAATGCCCCAGAAACAACTAGCGGCTAGACGCCTGGATCTTTCAACACCCGAGAATCGGTTCAAATCAGGAGGAAGACCCAGAAAGACCTGGCTGGATGGGGTTAAAAAGATCCTGGAACAACATACCTTAATAATATCACAATCACAGACGCTACACACCTAGCACAGGACCGAAACCTGCATCTCCCCTCGACATCCTAAGGATACCAGAGGAAGAAAAAAGTAAAAGTAAAGTACAGTTTACCTTTTTCACAGAGAGACTAAGATACGCGAAAAACATTAGCCCAACACATGATCTGGACTCAACATTTCTGCACAACAGATTCTCCACAACAGACGAAAGTAAAGAATCGTCGTTAACTTATTGTATTTTACTTCAATCTTCCTCTCATTTGATTTGATGTCAAGGAGATGTCACATTTTGGGTCAAGGGCTAGGTGGGTGGCTTTTGTTATTGATAAACATATTATGGGTTTTTAATTGTTGTTGGTGGGGGTTTTTTTTTTGGGGGGTGGGCTGTTTTTGTGGGGGGTTTGTTTTGGAGTGGGAGGTGTCTTCGTGTCGCCATCCAGCCATGTTTTGCATGGTCTACAGCTGTCTTTGCAGCCTGATTTTATTTATTTTTTTTTTTTTTAAAGCAGAAATAGTTTTAAGCAACTTCCAATATAATAAGATATAAATTCCCAAGATAAGAGGTGGTACTAGGGAGTGATATATTCTAAGAAAAGAAAAGAGATTAGGATGACAGACGTTTGATAATATGAACGAAGGAACAAACCACACGAGAACTTCCACCAAAAACCCATCCTGGTTCTTGTGAGTTGTACGCCCGTAAGACTGATTAAGTTGACTCGCCCCAAAAAAGCAGAAGGCCACAGAATTCGTCTAACCTTGCGCAGTATCTATTTGGAGACGGCTCTGACAGAAATTGACGAGTCAAACTGATTTGTGCCTCTAGACCAAGTAAAAATATCAGGGGGGTTACATATTTTAACCCATAATTTGACATTTTGTAGTTACGTTTGAAATTTTCTTTAAAATAATTGATTGCTAAAGTTTTAGTGGCTATTATCATGTGTGATCTGCAGCAATTAATGCACAGTTTGACACCGAAAGCAGTGCATCTGTGTGCGGGAGTGCGTCTCCTCCGAATAGTTCCTGGGTGCTCGTCGGAGACATCTCCGAATATCTTCTGCCCTCACCTTGAGAAGAGCTTGTCGTATGACGGGCCCGTGCACCCATGGGAGGGGCGGGTGTCTCCAACACTGCACACCCCGGGTCCCGTTGTTGTAGAGCTCCGAATGTCGGAACGTCTTGAAGATGTGTCTGGTTGCGTTGGACACCTTTAGGTCATTGAGGGCGTTGATGACAAGCTGAAGACCGTCGGCGGCTAGGGCTGCGTCTGTCTGGAAGAAAGTGTTCTGGTGATGGGTGTTGTTTGTGTGAGTGTGTTGTTTGTATGAGAGAGAGAAAGAGAGAGAGAGAGAGAGAGAGAGA